ATTTGTTGGATCAGACTGTATGAAAACAGAAGACAGGAGCTGAGTGGGTGTTAGTGATGTTATAATACAGAAGACAAGTGAGGTGGTGCACAAATGGTGGTTATTTTTTGTGCAGAATATAAAATCTGATTTGAAGCAGAGTGATTAATTCTTTAGGATGAATGCTGACTTCTGTTTCCTACAAACACACACACACACACACACACACACATATCACTGATCACATCACATGCTCATAGAGACACACACATCAGATGTTCTCTGTTGCAGACACACATGACACATGTTCACATGTGAGTGTTTTATCTGTTGCATGATTAATGAGATGTTTGTGTGTTTGGCTGTAGGGGAGGCTGGCTCTTGGGAGTTGTCTGGGATCAGGTGAGGAGCTTGCAGCTCCAAGACTCTGGTCCTATCAGCTCCCCTTGCAAGTTAAAATGGATGGAGCTCTGTCTTGCTTTGTTCATGGGAATAAGTCTAAACCAGCGGGGCCTGCGAAACACAGACCTAACAGCCAGCATTTGGATGACTCTCTCCCACTACACTTTCATTCAGAATTTAGTCTATCAGAAGTAGCAACAACAACATGAACACCACACAGAGCTCCGCAATGCTAAAGCTTTTTTTTTTTTTTTTTGATGTTTTGGTGGTGACGGGTAATCTGTTAAAGATCACAGATCAGTAGTTGAGAAAAAACCTTTGCTCTGCTCCCATCTAATGGTTGTTGTTGGTATTGCCATGCAAGGTGACCAGAAAAGTTATAAAACGGCATCTATAGTCTTATTAAATCTGCATACAAAACTGTGAAACTCTGAGTGTGTGTCTGTGGGCATGTGGCAAAGTTTTATCTATTGACACTGTAATTTTCCAGCTCAAACTGTCCTCTACAGCAAAGATAGGACTTGAGGAATGAAAGGAAAAAAAACATGTGTACTGTCAGGGATCTTGTGTGAAATTTCTCGCCTTCTTAATGGGCTGGGACCACCATGTTGTGCAGAAGCCAGGTTGGCACACAGTCTGACAGCCCTATCTGACAAATGAAATGGCCTGTATTTGTATAGCGCTTTAATTAATTAAATTAATTATTAATTAATTTAGTCCCTAAGGATCCCAAAGCGCTTTACACAACCGGTCATCCACCCATTCACACACTGGTGATGGCAAGCTACATTGTAGCCACAGCCACCCTGGGGCGCACTGACAGAGGCGAGGCTGCCGGACACTGGCGCCACCAGGTCCTCTGACCACCACCAGTAGGCAACGGGTGAAGTGTCTTGCCCAAGGACACAACGACCAAGACTGTCCAAGCCGGGGCTCGAACCGGCAACCTTCGATTACAAGGCGAACTCCCAACTCTTGAGCCACGATCGCCCATATTATTGCCATATTATGAATTATGAATATATTTTATGACAAGAATCAATCAGCTAAGATGAGAGAAATGACAGTTCATCATTACTTTAAGAACTGAAGGTTAGGCAGTCTTAAAAATTGCTATTTTTAATTAATTTAATATTTCCACAAGTGGAGTCGCAAAAACCATCAAGCATCATAACGATACTGGCTCACACCTTTCCTGACCGCCCCAGGAAAGGAAGACCAAGATTCACCTTTGCTGCTTAGAATAAATTCATCAGTCACCAGCCTCAGCAAGCACAGGTTAAAAGCACCTGAGATTAGAGCCCAGATACAGTAAATGCCACACAGAGTTCCAGTAGCAGATACATCTGCTCTGTTCAGAGCAGACTGTGTCAATTAGACCTTTATGGTCAAATTGCTGCTAAAAAAAAATCACTACAAAGGAAAAGCAACAAGCAGAATTAAATTTTGTTGCCAAGAAACACAATTACAATGGAATTCTGTGCTTTGTCTGGTGAGTCCAAATTTGAGAAGTTTGGTTTCTCCTGTCTTTGTAAATTGACTGGTTACAGGACTTACTCTACTTGAACTTTCAAAGCACCTTTTCCATCAAGAGTTGTTAATATACTGCATCACAGTATGGTGTGGCAGCTGCACTAAGGCAGATAGAGCAAGGCTTCAGAGTGTAGTCAAGGCAGCACAGAAGATCTTTGGCTGCCCTCTCCCCTCCCTGATGAACATTTATTCCTCCCGTTGCCTCAGCAGAGCAGCAAACATCAAAGACAGCTCCCACCCTGGTTTTGACCTGTTCAACCTGCTTCCCTCAGGGAAGTGCTGCAGGTGTATCAGCACAAAGACCCATAGACTGGCAAATAGATTCTTCCCTGAATTCACACATACACCGACAACACAGTTCCGCAATTGATTTTCTGCTATTCAAGGACTTTGCTCTATACAGAGACAACTACTATCACCACAGTGCAATATTTAATTTATGTGCAATAATCCAGACTTTAAATATATAACCTGATTGGATATTTGTACATCTGCTATTTTTTGAGTACTTTTCATATTTTTTTTGTATATGTGCTGCAGAACTGTGCACCTCATCCCATGTATTTTCCCACATGTCTTCACTGATTAGGAGATGCTCTGTAGCTCATTGTACATATAGTGACAATACAATGCATTCTATTCTATTCTATACAGCATACCTCATTTACCGATGTACAACAGGACTTTTTTTTTAATGTTTAAGTGCTTACTATCCAACATTCACAGACATTAATACTCAAATTATTAGTATTAATTAGTATCTTGTCAGAATATTTGGCATGCAGACTGGAACAGCCATCTCACTAACCCGAGCTACAACCACCAGTTATGATACTCCTATTGAGGCTGTTGCAATGTCACAAACAATAAAACAGTGGATGATGAATCCGTCCAAGTAATGAGAATCCAAATGTCAGCTGATAATTGTCCAGTTACGTATTGTCAGATAGTATATTAAGTACAATTTATTCAAGTATTTAAGAAAACCTCCTTTTTTAAACTCTGCTAAAGCTACAGTTTACTTTTACTTTTTTAAAATTTAGGATGATTTTGGCCATCTAAGTTGGCTGTGGTCACCTGGCTGTTTTTTTTTTGTGTCTGTTTGTTTTAGGACCATTTTCAAATGCCTGTTAATATACTCTGTGCTGTGTTTGTGGACACACGTGTGACCTGTGACTTTGTGTTTCCAAATATATTTAACTTGCAATATGTATTTAAGCAGCACGGTGGCACGGTGGTTAGCACTGTTGCCGCACAGCAAGAAGGTCCTGAGTTCAATTCCACCATCAGGCCGGGGTCTTTCTTTGTGGAGTTTGCATGTTCTCCCTGTGTTTGCGTGGGTTCTCTCCGGGTACTCCGGCTTCCTCCCACCATCCAAAGACATGCAGCTTGTGGGGATAGGTTAATTGGATAATCCAAATTGCCACTAGGTGTGAATGTGCGAGTGAATCTGAGTGTGAATGGTTGTCTGTCCCTATGTGTTAGCCCTGCGACAGACTGGCGACCTGTCCAGGGTGTACCCCGCCTCTCGCCCCATGACAGCTGGGATAGGCTCCAGCGACCCTGAAAAGGATAAGCGGAAGCGAATGGATGGATGGATATGTATTTAAGAAAATCTGCAATGCTGGTTGATGGATAGTTGATTCAAAGGTGCTCAGTTTCAGCCTCCTGTATATTGTCTTTAGGGTTAGGGTTATTGTTTAGTGTGTTTGGCTGTTAACAAAAGGATGGTGGTTTGAGCCCAACCAGAAATGATGTCATTATATTTTTGACACATTTCACTGCGTGTTGTCCTTGTATAACTATGCATGTAAAATGAAAAGTCTTGATTCTTGAAACTGTTGCAAATGTATTTGGGGAGTTCCTTTCTCCAGGCTCAAAATACAGGGAGGAGAAAATGTAAACCTCCTGTTATGTTCATTTCTCAGGTGCATTTCTTATGAAGTATAATAATAGCATCTAGGTTGTCTCTCTCCCATCTGACAGTGCTCATCTCTTTACAATTTTTTGGCAGTCCTTGCCAAAGTGGGTTAAAATGACTTCCAGACCCCGGCCAGGATGAGGACCCAAAAAGCCATCTAAATCCATGCAAATAGATTTTATTCAGCTCGTTCCATTCTTCTCCCAAAATATGTACAATGTCTTTTTAAATGAGTCTTTTTGAGAATGATTTTGTGTATTGAGTTGGAAATGACCAGCTCGAAAGCTGACTTGATGTCACATGTGTCACTGTGAAAATATGTGAAATAAACCATTTTCATTTTATTACACTTGCACTTGAAGTTTCATAATAAAACAAAACAAAATGGGTCACTTTAACCTACAACAGTACAAGGAGGTTAAATCCAAACTGCTAATTATTTACTAACAACTGCCACATACAATTTAGTAATAATTGTACTGATATTTAATGCAAGTAGTTTGCTTGATATTAAAATGAACTGACTATACCTGTTTTGAAAACAGGAAAAATTTTGTTAATAACCTGTAAAACCAAGCAAACCAACCAGCACTTTTTGGGGAATGTGCTCACTTTCGTTTTAGCTTTTTTAGTCTGTGTCATTTATGTTAAATAAAAAATAAATAAATGTGACTTTAGGCTGTATTGCTGTCAGCAGGAGTCAACAGTAACGTATTTTTCGGCCTATAAGGCACACTGAAAATACTTTTTCTCAAAAATTGACAGTGCGCCTTATGTATGAATTTTGGTTGTGCTTACTGACCTCAGAACGATTTTATATAGTACACGGCGCTCAAATCTGTTAAAAAAGGTTTTAGTATGACTTTGGTAAGCTACAAAGCTGCACCGCTTGATGGATTGTCAGAGCATACGGCTATTGTAGCCAGGAGCCTCGCGGAGTAAAACTTCCTGTAAATAATGTTGATTGTGTGTGTATAAGGACCCCCAAATGGCACCTGTTAAGAGACATGTTTATGAACTGGATTTCAAACTCAAGGCTATCAGTCACGCAGTTAACGGAACAGAGCAGCTGCAAGAGAATCAATCAGAATCTCGTTTCATCTCGTTTCCTTCGGGTTCCTTTTGGCTTCCTACACCTGGTCTGATAACTCCCTACTATTCCTAGGTCCAAACGATGAAGACCTTAAAGAGCTGGCTTTGAGAGATTTGGAAAAGATTCATGGCAAGAAGGTCAGGGATCTCTGCACAGGGGTCATAGTGAAGAAGTGGAGCTTGGATCCTTATAGTTTGGGAGCATTTGCTTTGTTTACACCCTACCAACACTTAGAATATGCTGCAGAGCTCTTTAAAAGTGAGGGCAAGGTGCACTTTGCTGGTGAGCACACAGCCTTCCCTCATGGTTGGATCGAGACATCAATGAAATCAGCAATCAGGGCGGAAGCACAGCACGAGAGGAACTCTAATGGAACGACTGCAGCGTATAGATGATTTGAACCAGATGAACAGTCAGCTCAGACAAAGATCTGTGATTATTTGGTGATGCTGAATTGACTGTATTTCTTAAACTTCTCTTTATATAAAAGAACATTGCAGGTACACTGTTTATTTACTTCATGTTTTTAAAATTTCCATGGTGCTTGTTTGTAATTTTATTACAACTTAGTTAGTTAAACTTGGTGATAATTACTAAGAAATGAAATTGAACCTTTTTTGTCTCTATGACTTCAGTCACAGCCTCTTATAATGTTTTATTTTAGTGTATGTATAATTACATTCTTCTATATTGTTCTTCTATATTTCATATATATTGTATATTTTTGTACTCAAATATGCACTCAAAAGTCTTTAAATTAAAGTCTAAATTATCCTCTATGTGGTCTTGAGAGGCTGCATTTGTCACGGACCCAGCTCTGGAGGACTCGGGTCCATGAGAAGTGTGGACTATTATCATTGTTGATGTTGTTGTTATTGTTATTTAGTTGGTGTGTGCATGTGTCTTTAGTTGTTTTCTGTGGCCAAGTTACAGCACCTCCAGACCTGGTGGGTGTGGCCCTGCTAAGGGACTGGCCACACACGAAGCCTTGCCGCACACCTGCTGCTGATCTGGGCTTGTCGGGGGAGCTATTTAGAAGAGCGATGGAGCTTCCTCTGGCGCGGGATCATTACGTGTGTATCCCCTCGGTTGTATGTGTCCTGACTGCTGCTTCTATTGTGTCCCCAGGGGAGGTGTGGATTGCCAGACAGCAGGAAGCACGAGGAGTGCTGAGACACGGGAGCGGAGAGCACAAAGACACGGACTTGTCAGAGAAGACACAACACGGGAGTCAGGGGAGAGCACGGGCATTTATTGTTATTTTCCATTCACTGTAAATAAATGCACTGCTGATATTCAGAGCTCTGTGCCTGGGTATTTCCTTCCTCACTTCCCCACGGTTGGCCATCGTCAACTGTGACAGCATTATCCTAAACACTGTGACAATCATTTTTACAGAATAATTCTGGAACAAGAAATGTCTTGTTTTGATATGTACATATATCTACACAACTGTATGAGATTCTATAAATTAATATAACTGTATGCCTCAGAATAGATATGGAACTATCAAAGTACAAGAAAACCTTCTGTCCACAATGCCATTGCCCAATCTGGTCTCACAGCAGTTTATGAAATATTTGTCAATCCATCTCAATTTCCAGTCCTGCTACATCCTTCAGGATCGTACATACAATGTATTGTATGATACATTGGATTTCATTGCATAAGCGTATTGCTTATAGTGCCAATAAAATATCAGACATATGTATTCACTGTAAACTGTCTTTAACTTTATTTTATAGCCAGAAAGAAGAAAAAAACCAACAAACAAAACATAAAAAAGAAAAATAAACAAAATAAAACACAGTGTAATGTTTTATGACACAGAGTAGGAAGCAGAGTAGGACTGTTGTGAAACGTGCTGCCATTACTATAAATCTATTCAATTTTAAACCAGAGGCATGTGGCAACTTTTACAGAAAGGTAAGCAGAGATTATTTGTGCATGTAGTGAATGCACTTTAGAGGGAGGGGGCGCTCTAAAGACTCTTCCTTTTGACTTATGTGCAGCTATGCTGTCATGCCTCGAGCAGAACTGAAGTGAGACTGGTATGTAGGTAATACAGCTGATGTTTTGTTTTTAAAATAAAAAAAAGAAAATGGAGTTGGCTGTTTGTGGGCAATTTGATCAGAGACAGTAAC